GAGAATTCGAGTCCTTCACTTGCTTTGGCAAGGGCGTTGAGCAATCTTGCGTCTTGTCCTTGATTGTTCTACCGATCTATTCCCCTGGAGTATTCATCTTCATCGGAGTGTCGTCTACTGCCTTTAATCAAATCGTATCGTCCGTTTGATTCTAGGTTTCGCAACCCAAGCGTTGGACAACCTCGCTAGATGCTTGGGCAAACGTGCTATTTATCTTGAAACAAGTTGATCGAGAAACGTATTAGTTGGCTTCAGAGCTTTGGTGGAGGTATCTTTCGTTATATCCTCGTTTTTCGTATTTGTGTCTAAGATTTTGTGTTATTTTTTTCCGCTACCTTGTGTCAAAAAAAAATAAAAATAACCGATAGCATCTTTGTTCTTGTGTCGCTCAATTTCTTTTTGGATTGTGTCGCTTCGTATCAAGCAATTCTGGTCGTGAAGTTTTGTGTCCCTCTCTCGCCAATTGCTGATCCATTGTGTTGTGTCAATCTGTCTTGGTCTTTAGCCTTTGGCCAAGAAACAAAAAAAAAAAAAGAATCTGTCAAGTGTTCTTGCGACGTGTTGTAGACAAATCTGTCCACAACTTGTCTCTTGCGTTTGAGTCGTTGTTGCATAACATTCTGCCCGTAAGTGTTGCTTCTTGTTTGTGTCAAATCTGTCCATGCATGCGTAGTTGTTGCCTTGACAAATCTGACCATATCTTGTGTCGATTGTTGCACCAAGAATCTGTCCAAAACCATCCAAGCCGAAGCAACAAGCACACAAGTAGGCGATGGCTTGGGTTTTCCTTGGCGGTTAGGGTTTGTTTTTGGCGGCTAGGGTTTGCTTTTGTCGGCTAGGGCTTCATCTTTTCAAATCTGTCCAAATCAGTTCATGAACTATCCAAGTTGCTTTCTTAATTTTCTAGACTAATTTTGGGTTAACTTGTTGGGTCTTGCGAATCTTGAAGGAAACCTACAAGGATCTAGGGTTTCTTGAGTTTCTTGAAATCAATCTTGAAACCCTTGAAGCTCTTGAAAGCTTCTTGGAGAATTCTTGCGAGAATTTGATGTTTGAGCGTTGCTTGTGGAAAAAAATAGGGGGCTGACCGAATCTGGAAATTATTTCTTGCAGCCAAGTGGCCTTTGCTTTTCGTTGTTAAGTTAAAAAAAAAAAAATAGAAACGGAAAAAGAAAAGAAAGAGGAAGCACGCGGTTGGCAAGAAGCAAAGAAGACAAGCAAGGAAGTAAACTTGTACTGCCAAATCTGTTTGTACCTTTTGTTCCAACCAAACCAGAAAATTACACAAAGAAAGCGTTCAAAAGTTTTGTCCTACCTCTTCTTGCAATTCTTGATCACCTTGCGCCTTGATAACTTGAACCACCCTTCGAGGTTCTTGAATTTCTTGGCCATCTTGTGTCTTGAAAACTTGAACTTCCCTTCGAACAAAAAGTTTCTTGTGCGTTGTTGCATCCATACGGGGCTTTCTTGGCTTAGGAACAAAATTCTTGGGAGCTTCTTGAGCAGCCCGTTGGGGGGATCCTTGAGTGACATTGCTCACATTATCTTGGGAGGCCATTGTCTTGAAACAAGAACCAAAGCTGCCTTGCCTTGCAAAGAGAGGGGGGGAGCCGAATTGTTTGTTCCTTGAAGTGTGAAGGGGCCAAATTTCTTGGAGAAAGGTGCGGCTGTGAAGAGAGGGGTTTTTATAGGGAATTAGACGACCTTGGGAAAGGGTTCAAGAAGGAGAAAAATTCTGGAAATTTCGGTTAAAGGAAGGAAAGAATCCAAATCTGTTTTGGAGATGAATTTGGAAGTTTCTAAAGGTTGTTCAAGAGAGGTTTTCTAAGGAGTTTCCAAAACCAACTTGTTTTCCCAATTAATTTAGGAAACTAAGAAAAAATAATTGGATAACTCTTTGTTTCACTTGGACACTTTCCTATTTTCTCTCCTTGCTTTAGGGAACCACTCCTACTTTCACTCCTACATTTTAGGAACCACTCCTACATCTTAGGAAACCTAGGGCTTCCTTTCTTAGCGTTATTTTCAAGTCTGCCTGCCGCCTATAACCATTCAAATTTCGTCCATTCCATCTCAAAATCTTACCCAATTGTGTCCTGCATTCTTGCTTACTCTTGTGGGAAAAGTTGGTGACGATTATTGGACTCGAGCAGCATTTCTCATCCACCTCAACCGACAGGTAAAAGGCATTGGGTAAGATTGCTTAGAGAGTGTCTTGAGTGATAAACATGAGCGACAGTGATACACTAAGGGAGTAAAGTGAGGATATATTTGCACTATTTCTTCTTGTTACTAACCTTTTGCAGGGCCTCAAGAGAGACATGGAGCAACAACAACCACCCACTGACTACTCCTTGATGTTCACCGCCATGAAGAACGAGCTCAGGCGAGTTAGTGAGCAACAAATGAAGGAATTGCACACTCGCTTTGATGAACTCTCCAAGATTCTCACACGAGGCTCTCGATCTAGATCTCACAACCGGAGAAACCGTGACACCAGGGGAGCAAATAGTGAAGCCTACTCGGGTAGTGAGGATGATGAACGTGCTGAGAGGCCTACGAGGGACACGTCTAAAAACGAACTCAAGGGACTCAAAATTCAAGTTCTCGCGTTCAAAGGCAAGAGTGATCCCGAAGCTTACTTGGAATGGGAAGGCCGCATTGAGATGGTTTTCGACAGCTACGACTATAGTGAGGAACAAAAGGTTAAAGTTGCCACCGTTGAGTTCACCGACTACGCACTAGTTTGGTGGGACCAAGTGAGAATCCATAGAAGGAGAATGGGAGAACCACGAGTCCGAACTTGGTGAGAACTCAAGGCACTGATGCGTAAGAGATTCGTTCCAAGCTACTACAATCGAGATCTCCACTCCAAATTGCAAACCCTCACTCAAGGCAACATGAGTGTGGAGGATTATTACAAGGAGATCGAGATGGCCATAATGAGGGCAAACATGCAAGAGGATGGCGAAGCGACCATGGCCAGGTTTCTTAGAGGTCTCAATCCTAACCTTCAGGAAGCCTTGGAGCTCCAACATTATGTGGACATTCATGACCTTCTTGAGTTAGCCATCAAGGCTGAGAGGGGAAAGAAATTGAGGCGTGGGGCTCGTACCTTCCAATCTTCTAACTCGACCTCATGGAGGGGCAACCAACCACGGAGAGCGACCTACAAAGCTGGACATTCAGCTACCCCAACTTCTTCTAGCCGAATTCAAGGTAATGCCTCCGCCTGCAATACCCATTTTACCCCTAACAAAGCTGTTGATGCATCCAGATCTGCTTCGAAGGCACCTCTTGAGACGCCTAAGACTAGGAGTAGGGACATCAAGTGCCTTAAATGCCAAGGGTTTGGACATATTCAATCTCAATGTCCAAACCAATGAGTCATGTTAATTAGTCACAATGGCGAGATCGTGTCCGATGATGACGATTGTGAGGAGGTGCCCGAATTGGTCAACAACGACTGCCTGGAAGATGATTCAGCTGCGGATGCTTGCTCGCTTACGCAAGGAGAAGTAGGTTGCTTGGTGGCACGACGAGTGCTAACCGCCCGAGTTAAGGAGGACGAGCAACTACAAAGAGAGAACCTATTTTACACTCGTTGTAAGATCGGTGACAAAGTGTGTAGCCTCATCATCGATGGTGGGAGTTGCACGAATGTGGCGAGCTTGCTCATGGTTGAGAGTTTAGGGCTCCCAAGTACTCGACATCCACATCCTTACCGCCTCCAATGGCTAAGTGAGGATTGCGAGGTACGTGTCTTCAAACAGGTACGCGTTCCCTTCTCCATTGATAGTTACACTGATGAAGTCGTATGTGACGTAGTGCCTATGCATGCTACACATGTCATCCTGGGGAGACCTTGGCAATTTGACAAACACGTCACATTCGATGGAAGGGCAAATAAGTACACCCTTTTGCACGATGGCAAACGTAAGGTCCTCATACCACTCACACCTGCACAAGTTTATGAGGACCAATTGAAATTGCAACGGGAGTGTGACATAGACCGTCAAAAGTGAAAGCCAAAGACGGCCGACCCTAGCAAGAGCTCTACTTCTACAAGTGAGCAATCGACCAAGGGTCAAGTGAGCACACCTAGTGTTACGCATAACAAATCACTCACTACACCTACCACTAGGAAGCAAAACATGATCATTAAGGCTAAGGACGTTAGAAAAGTTGTGAATTCTGATCAGCCTGTACTTCTCATGATTTGCAAACATGTGCTCTTAGATGTTGCTGAGCTCGATAAGGCATTGCCTTCGAGTATGGTTGCTCTTTTACAGGAATTTGAGGATGTTTTCCCTGATGAGGTCCCTGATGGCTTACCACCCATTCGGGGAATCGAGCACCAAATTGACCTGATTCCTAGAGCGTCACTACCCAACAAACCTGCTTACCGCATGGACACTGAGGAGACAAAGGAGTTTCAACGGCAAGTTGATGGCCTACTAGGTAAGGGTTGGGTAAAAGAGAGTCTCAGTCCTTGTGTTGTACCTGTGGTACTTGTCCCCAAAAAGGATGGTACTTGGCGCATGTGCACTGACTGTAGGGCCGTTAATGCCATCACTGTGAAATATCGTCATCCCATTCCTAGATTAGATGATATGCTTGATGAACTCGATGGTGCTATAATATTCACGAAAATTGATTTAAGGAGTGGCTATCATCAAATTAGGATGAAAGAAGGCGATGAATGGAAAACGGACTTCAAAACCAAACATGGTCTCTACGAGTGGCTAGTCATGCTTTTTGGGTTGACTAACGCCCTTAGTATATTTATGCGACTAATGAACCATGTTTTGAGGCATTTCATTGGCAAATTTGTTATTGTTTACTTTGACGATATTCTGATATATAGTCGCAATGAACAAGAGCACCTGGAGCATGTGAGATTAGTTCTCGAGGCACTTCGATAGGCGCGTCTATACGCTAACCTTAAGAAGTGCAACTTTTGTACTAACGAGCTTGTGTTCTTAGGATATGTAGTGAGCTCACAGGGGATCAAAGTGGATGAGTCCAAGATTGAAGCCATCAAGCAATGGCCAACTCCTGCATCCGTCCCGGAGGTGCACAGCTTTCTTGGGTTGGCAGGCTTCTACCGGCGTTTTGTCAAAGACTTTAGCACCATTGCCACCCCATTGACCACCGTGACCAAGAAGAATGACAAATTCCATTGGGGGGGAAGCCCAAAAACAAGCATTTCTTACCCTCAAAATCAAACTCACACACGCACCTGTGTTAGCGTTACCCAACTTCAACAAAACTTTTGAAATCAAATGTGATGCTTCTGGTGTAGGTATTGGCGCCGTCCTGATGCAAGACAAAAGGCCTTGTGCCTTCTTTAGCGAGAAACTGGGAGGAGCTGCCTTAAACTATCCTACGTACAACAAGGAGTTGTACGCACTGGTGAGAGCCTTGGAGACCTGGCAACGCTATCTTCGCCCTCGGGAGTTCGTGATACACACCGATCATGAGTCATTGAAGTATCTCAAAGGGCAACCTAAGTTAAGTAAGAGACATGCCAAATGGGTAAGCTTCATTGACACTTTCTCCTATGTCATTAAGTACAAAACTGGCAAAACGAATGTGGTAGCTGATGCTTTCTCTCGTAGACATTCTTTGATTGCTGTTCTTGATGCCAAGTTGCTAGGGTTTGAGATGTTCAAGGAGATATATACCCATGACCATGACTTTGGGGAAATCTATGCATCTTGTATAAAGAGTCCACATGAAAAGTATTTCTTGCACAATGGTTTTTTATTTTATGTGGATAAATTGTGTGTCCCTAACTCTTCCATTCGTGATCTTTTGGTTAGAGAGGCACACAGTGGTGGTCTCATGGGACACTTTGGCATTGGTAAGACTCTCGCCATGTTACAAGAGCACTTTTACTGGCTGCACATGCGTAGGGATGTTGAACGCATGGTTGGTAGATATGTCACTTGTCATAAGGCAAAGTTTAAAACAAATCCATACGGCCTGTATACCCCATTGCCTATTTGTGACGGCCCCACCTCCCCCTAGGGCGTACCCCAGGGTTCGGCGGGTCGCCTGCCCAACTCTCGCCGGGACTCACTCACTCACTACGATCCTCAAATAGTTTACAATATAAATCTCAAAAATTACATCAAATTCTTCAATAATTACATAAACGAGTATATCAAGTTATACAAACCACGAGTACCAGAAGTACCCTAGAAAAGCTGATAACTCTAACCACCATGACAAATATATACAACTTCCTAGTCCACTTATAACAAATACAAGTTCAACTTATCTAAACACCTTCCCGAGCGATCCCCGCGTCGGCCCCCTGCTAAGGAAAACAAATAGAAAGGGGTAAGCTATATGCTTAGTGAGTAACCAGGGGTAAAAATGTAGTTTTTACATGTCAACATTTGACCAGTAAGAGCAAAGCAAAAGTAGAAAAGTAACACTACATAGTAAGGATACGGGTGGCTCCCAAGCCAACTCTTTTGTCGAGTTTGATCACTGGTTGACCCTTAAGATCCTGAGCTACACAGCTCACTTCTCTTGCCCAAGTCACGAGCAATAAATGCTCTAAAATATTTTTCAAGCAATAAATACTCTAGTTCAAGCAATAAATGCTCTGGTTCAAGCAATAAATGCTCTCAAGCAATAAATGCTCTGGTTCAAGCAATAAATGCTCTGCAAATATTCACAAGCCATGAATGCTCTATGACAAATCATAAAAATCATATTTCACAGGTATGAATAGCAATTAATGGGGTTTAGATCGAGTGCGATAAAGTACACCCTCGCCTAAGTGCCCATTCATAGTAAACTCATTTTTTGTATTGAGTTACACAGAAATCCTGATCACTCACCTAAAGAGAAAGTATAACGAGAGAAAGTACGGAAATGAATTCAAGTCGCCAGCTAGTGGGCCCCACCGGCTCCGTCTAGCCCGCCTTCGCCTGTAGCAGAAGGTTGAGCCATATCATCACACAAACAACTACTAAAGGACGCAAATTAAACAAAACGGCAAAATCGGCACATGCACGCGTGCGGAAACGGCAACGGAAACGGCCAGATTTGGCACCAAAAACCGTTTTGATCAAAAGTTAGGCTGGGAATGTCGAATCAAAGTGGGTGAGACACCAATTCGAAGCTATGAGGAAGGGCTACCATTCTCATGAAGACACCTTAATCTAGATCTGAATGGAAGCAGGTCGAAATTATGGAAAACAGTACCAGAAATTTACGTGTTCGGGTGACGAACAGGGTTTGTTTGCTGGATTATAACTCACAGCTCACAAATCCAAATCAAGAAATTCCAAAGGCGTTGGAAAGCTAGGACATAAGGTTATAACTTTCACGTTTGGATCAAAAGCTGAATCAATACAGACCATGGAGAAAAATGGGTCCAAACATTCCTGTCAGAACTGTCCAAATTCGAAGGCAGTTCTGACAACCGATCTTGTTTTGGTCACAACTGGAGCTACGGGACTCGGATTTGGATGAACTTTATACCGTTTTGAATCTGAAACCAAGATCTATATTTCTTATGAAGGGGTCAACACCCAGATCGTACGTTATCAAAACAGACAAAACAGGGCAGAAGCTAAATGCAGAACGTACGTAAATTCCAGGGTACAAAACAGGTGCGAGTGTTTTGGCTATAACTCGGGCTACCTCAGTCCAAATCAAGTAATTCGAAAACCATATGAAAGCTAAGAAACAGGGATACATTTCATCAGAAGGCCTCAACAACCAATTACAGAAGCAATTCTCCAATTCGGGTAAAACCAGGACAACAATAGTAATTTCAACTTTTCTCATTCTAAACTACTCCGATTGACCTGAAATTTTGTAGGTACCTCTAAAATGTCATTCCCTACAACTTTCATGTTTTAATCCAAGGACAATTAGGCCTCTAACTAGGATTTATAAAACCGGACAGAATGTAGCTTCATGAACCCTAGGTTTTTCCATTTTCTTCCAAAACAGAAATTACTTGCAATCTTCCACTTTTTCCACCTTTTAGATGCCTTATATACCATTTCCAATCATCATACAAAGCCACAACATATGAATCATATTAAATCAGAAAATTCATGATTAAATAGAAAATGTCATCAATCTTCACCATAAGTCATGAAATCATCCAAAAAATCACTTGTTCAACTACCACACCTACTAATTTCATCTCATAACCAACAAGGAAACAATTTCTTAACCACTTACCTTACAAACACTAGATACAAGGTAGATGAGAGTCTCTCCCTCCAAACAAAAACCACCAAGCACTTCAATCACTCCTAGCAAGTTTTATGAAGGAATTTGAGAAATAAATGGTTGGATTACAAGATTTGGGCAAGAAAAGGGAGCAAAAATTGAAGAGCTCTCTTTCTTTTCTCTCTAGAGTTGGCCGACCAAGAAGGTGAAAATGAAAGACAAATTTTGGTCCAAATTGGTTTAGTAAAGGTAAAGAAAGACTAGTCAAATGCCAAGCTCCAATCACAAGGCAACATGTGTCCATTCCAAGCTTATCTCATTTCTTTTGTCTTGCAAGAATTAATGAACTAACCAAACCCCTAATTATCTCATAACACCATGTAATATAACCCATATATACAAAGCTACTCCAAATGAACCACATTTACCGCACTTATCACACTAGTGGGTCCCACGTCCGGTATACGCTCTTAAATTCTCAAAAACTACCCGATACTAGAAAAATCATTTTAAAACTATATTTGCTCATAAACTTTATCTGGGAAATTTTTTTTTAATAAAGAAAATGTCGAAAAAGGCGGACGATTAAATAAAATAAACCCTAGAAAATTAGAAAATTTCCGGGTTCTCACTCTCATTCTTTTCGGGGCGTCACACTATTCCTCACTATCCTTGGGTAGACTTGTCTATGGACTTTGTCTTAGGCCTACCTAGGTCGCCAAGGGGTAATGATTCCATCTTTGTCCTAGTTGATAGATTCTCTAAGATGGCACATTTTATCCCCTGTCACAAAACTGACGATGCATCTCATATTGCTACTTTGTTTTTCAAAGAAATTGTCCGTCTGCATGGCATGCCTAAAACCATTGTTAGTGATAGTGATGTAAAGTTCTTGAGTTATTTCTGGAAGACATTGTGGTCTAAGCTTGGCACTAGGTTGTTATTCTCCACCACCAGTCATCCACAAAGCGATGGACAAACTGAAGTTGTCAATCGCACACTTGGTACTCTACTTCGGGGTTTGATTAAAAAGAATCTTAAAACTTGGGAAGAGTGTTTGCCTCATGTTGAATTTGCCTACAGTCGAACTGTTCATAGTACTACACACTACTCACCTTTCGAGATTGTTTATGGCTTTAATCCGCTGACCCCCCTAGATTTGGTACCCTTACCTTCCTCTGAGCACACAAGTTTAGATGGGGAAAAGAAAGCTGATTTTGTGCGCAGGTTACATGAAGCCGTTAGAGCAAACATTGAGAGGCGTACTCAGCAATACATCCAGCAAGCAAACAAGCACCGTCGTAAGATGGTTTTTGAGCCTGGAGACTGGGTTTGGCTACACTTGAGGAAGGAGAGATTTCCCAAGCAGCGACAAAACAAGTTATCCCCAAAAGGAGATGGACCCTTTCGAGTGCTCCAACGAGTCAATGACAATGCTTACAAATTGGAGCTACCTGGGGAGTACACTGTTAGCGCGACCTTCAATGTCACAGATTTGAGCCCATTTCTTGACGAGGAGGATCTAGATTTGAGGGCAAATCCTTCTCAAGAGGAGGGGACTGATGTGTGCACGGACCTCGGCCCAGGCAATGACCCAGTTCAAGTACCATTGGGCCCAGTCACACGTGCACGGACTAAGTAATTTAAGGAATCACTCCAAGCCCTTGTGCGGAATGTTCAAGACCAACAAGGGGTTCATCGAGACATTGAAGGCTTGGAAGGTGATAACCCAGTTGTCTACACGATGATCCAAGCCCGCGAAGAGAGCCCATGAAGAGCCCAAGCGGCCCGTGGCCGATTAGGCCTTAGTGTTAGGAGTCGTAAGTTAAATTAGTCCTTTTGTTAGCCATGGATTCGGCCCACCTTTTTATTGAAGGATGGACGAACCCTTAGGCCCTTTAATTGAGTCCATGGATCGGCCCACCCTGTCCAAGGAGTGGCCGACCAACTAGCTAGTCGATATTAGGATTTTTGATATTAGGGTTTCCTTAGTCTTGCCTATATAAAGGCTTGCTTTGTAAGCATTAAAGGTAG